ACGTTTTGAAGTTTTTGTTGGCTTGCAACTCTCTAGTTCGTCCAGCTCGAACATCTTTGTTCGAAACTCCACGAGCTTGATTTGGTCTCATCTCAGCCTCGCGGAATGAAAAATCATATGCATTCTTGGCTCTAGGAGGACATTCACGTTTTTCAGCACATTTGTTTTGCCAAGTCGACCATGTGGCATTACTTGCCCATAATGGTCTTGTTTCATCATATGCAAGTTCTCACCACGTTGTTGGGAGTATGAGCACTGAGGCTTACGAGCTTCTCCAACACTCATGTAAGTGTTGTGATCTTGATTTTTGCACCTACCACATAACCACTTGGTATCTTTTGAACTTTCACGTGGGATTGGAACTTTTCGGGCACTAGACTTGCCCCCCTTGCCACCACTCGTGGTAGACTTATTTCTCAGAAACAATGGTGTGGCAAATCCAAGTCGTGCATGATCGAACTTGCCCCCCTTTTCACTAGGTGGAGTCTTTGGGGACAATTTACACGGAGGATTCTGTTGATTCATACCAACCCTTGCGGGATTGGTTTTTTTCACGTGGTCACCACCTCCAACTTGAATAGTGTTTGTAGTGACCCTATTTCGATTTTTCTTAGAACAGAGTGGATGTGGCAAACTTATTTGCCACTTACGGTGTTGTTTTTCTCTCAACCGCCCATGCGGTGGGATCTCATGCCCCCCTAGCGGCTTAGATTGAACACCATTACGATGTTGTTTGGACAACCCATCATACATGAGCTTGCTATGCCCAACGTACTTATGACCAGGTTCTCCGCACTTGTTATTGTTTTCAATCTTACTAGAATTAAGTCGATAGTGACTTCTATGTAGTGGCTTCTTCAAACCAATTCCGACTTGTGTGTCCTTAAGAACAACATTGTTCACAGGAAAAGACACGTTGGGCTCCTTGGCTTCTGGCAACAATGTTGTAGACATACTCGTCGATGGCGTTTGGTTGACATTGGCTAGTCGATCAACCATCAAATCATCGCACGCAACAGACATGGTTTCAGATTTAAACACATCAAAATCACATGTGGCTCTATGTATTGACATACTAAAATCAGAAATACAACCATCCAACTTATCAAACCATCGATCTATGTTGTTTTCAAACTTATCCATTTTCTTTTCAAGATTATCAAATTGGAGATTTACCTCTTGGTTAAACTCCTTCATGGATTGGCGAAACTCCTCCATGGATTGACGTAGATACAGGATTTCAGTATGTAGCCGCTCTTCCATCCCTTGAGTACGTCTATCTGCCCCGTTCGCCTGACTAACTTCAATGTCGGGCGCCTCCTCCTCCACAGGTACGTGTGGAAGATCACGATATTGATTTCCTCGACGCGGAGCCGTATTCACATCAAACACACATGTCCCACCGGGTGTGCCAAATTGTTTCCTCGGGAAAACCAAATGCCACCGCCGGTGCCGAATTCGTTTCCTGCGATGTTGATTTGATGCTTCGCGATGGATACTCTTGCGGTGCCGTTTGATCGGATACACCGTTGATTGTTGAAATCGACGTGACCGTCAAATATCCACCGTCGGGCGGTGTTGATTTGATCGTTGCACCTCTGACTTCTAACCAAGAACGACCGTTACTACGGTTCGCACCTCTCCAAACTACGTTCGAACGAGGGTGTTTGAGTTTTTAGGAATCTACGTTACCGCTACTCCTATGGAGATTCCTGTGGAGAGCTCCGCGACTACGACTATGACTACAACTATGGAGATCCTTCCTGGAAGGAGAGCTCCGCGAAGGAGTTACAGAGAAAAGGTAAAGTTTTGACAGAGTTGTTTTGCGTTGATTTGGTTGTCCTCTCTCTCTCTCCTTTCTCCGGTGATTTTATTTGAAATCAATTGCGTAGTTTCCACGCTACGCGGAACTGCTTCCTGAACTGCTTCGTCGTAAACTCCCACGTGTCTTCATTCTTCTCCATGGAGTCATAGTCTTCAACTGCCTCGCCTCCGTTCTCCAATCTTCCTTGCGTAAAAGTCACGTGCACACATCAACTTTGTACCACCATGGTTCGAATCACGACACCGCCATCGATTAAACAACATTGTTGTTTCACCCTACACCACCATTGGACTCCCAACATCGTTCAGCTCGCGAAGCCATTTAATCCATGGCGTTATTGAACTTACGACACCGTTGAGATCCACGGAGGTGTTGGCTTCGCGGCACCGTTTAAATCCGTGACATTGTAGAATCTCACGATGTCATGCTGCCTCGATGAGCTTAGATTCGGAATGCAGCTAGACTTGACCTAATCGCCACTGTATTGACTAAACAATGTTGAGGTGCTATCAAAATCACAACCTCATTGCAACCGCAACAACGAAGTTGACACCCACCACGGTGTCTTTGAGATCTCACCCTTGCAACACCGATGAACTCCCAGTATTTAGTTTGCTGCATTGTCAAACTCGTGACTGCGGCATCGTCAATCTCACGATGCCGTTGTCGAACTCGCAACGCCGTTAAACTTGCGGCACCGCTACGTATTGCGATACTGTTATCTCGCGGCGTGGTTGCACTCACGACGCCGCAAAAATATAGTAATTATTAAAAATAATATTTTAGGTGTAAATACTAAATAGTAGTCTTCATGAAGTTTTCATATAGCATTGTGAAGGATAAGTAGTTCTCACAAGTCACAATCTAAAGATTCTCCCCCTTGGAACGAACATTATGCATAGCCCTACTAGTTTTGTATTGGCATTGTGTATTAATCTCCATCAATAAAGGCGTAGAAGTGGGAAGAAAGGTGTTAGTATGCTAACACCTAATTTGTTAACATGGTGTTAATACTAAATTCAACTGATAGAGAGCTTTTCTTTTGCTTACTTTCTATGTTGATCCAGTTGACCACATTTTAATGTTGATTTAGAGGGAGGGACATGCTTGTCAATTATAAAAATCATTATAGCATCACACGTGTATCGTCACCCATCTATTTCGTTTTCGTCCTCAGTTGGCAACGACCACTAGTATCACGAATCAATCCAAAAAATTAGGACAAGAAATACGACAAAACATACCTCCAAACACATAAAGCATACCCGAAAGCTAATAAAAATATAAGAAGCTCACCACACCACGAAAATCATAAAGTAGATCACCAGACAAAGCAAAAGAACCAAACTCATACCAGAAGGCAGAAACGACAAACCACATCACAAAACACATAAGTAGACAAGAAATCTCATAAAGCATAATAGAAATCAATTGACTTCTAGTATGCTTTATGAGATTTCTTGTCTACTATCAGGCCAATCTGTGTACTCGTTTTCTCTTCTTCGTGCACCTGCTGCGGTGGAAAAAGGATTGAAAATATCCATAGAAGGTTTGTGGGGAGTGGGACTGGTGATGTGGCTAAATTCCCACTTGTTAATTGGGACATGTGCAAAGCCCCTAAGTGTAATGGCGGGTTGGGACTTCAGATGTTTTAATAGTGCTCTGCTGGCTAAGTGGTTGTGAAAATTTGCAGCGGAAAGAGGAAGTTGGTGGAGAGAATGATCGCAATCAAATACCCCTTTGGCGTGTCGAATTGGCAGATTCAGCGTTATCGTGGTGGCTTCGGTGGATAAGTTTGGACTTGCATTACGAAAGAGTATTACAAGCAGGGTTCAAGAAGGCACGCCTAGGCTCACGCCTAGGCTCAATTAGGCGCTAGGCGGTGGAGGATCGCCTTGACTTGGCCATAGGCGTTGTAAAAGGCGCTGGTAGCGCTTAGTAGGTAGGAATAGCGCTTAGTTTGCGCCTAGTGGAGAGAAGGCGTGTCTGGGCGTTCCTGGGCTAGCTTAGGCGGTTAAACCCAATACTCTTCGTTTTGTCCTACAAAATCAGAAACTTGCCTCTTGCCCTAGAAAATCAGAAACACGGGAAGTAACATCTGCTGCCGCTTGCCGCCCTAGCTCTCGCCCCATCTGCTACCGCCTACCGCCCTAGCTCTCGCCCCATTTGCTGCTCTCTGCCGCCGCAGGAGAAAGTCATCGATCACTCTTCTCGCCTTCACACCACTCCGCTGCTATAGTGGGAAATAAAGTCGAAACTCGTCAATTGCTGCTCCTTCCTTCTCCTCAGTACGTAGCACAAGCTTCTTGCCTCTATAAGCACCTATTAGCAGATGATTGGTCACTATTTGCTTGTTATTTGTTATGTTAAGTGTTTACTGTTAAGAACTAGGCATTGCTAATTTTATATGCACTTGGATTATATGAACTATTCCAGAAAACATGAAATATTTGAGAATTTTTCCATTTATGCTCTGAACGCCTAGGCGCGCCTAGGCTACGCCTAATCGGGCAAGGCGCAAGTCAGGAGCCGAGCGCCTACCTTACGCCTAGCGCCTTTTAGAACCTTGATTACAAGTAGATCTTTCCTGTTTACATTATGCATTGAACGATTAGGTCATTGTATTCTTAGTGAAATTAGGAAAGGTAGATGGAAACCTCTGAAGCTTTCTCGTGATGGCCCTGAGCTATCCTATATTTTTTTTGCGGATGATCTTGTCATCTTTGTTGAAGCTAATACAAAGCAAGTTGAGATAGTCAGGAACTGTTTCCAACGGTTCTGTGATGCCTCGAGCGAGCTCATAAGCAAAGAAAATTCGCGAGTCTTCTTTTCCAAAAATATTAGAAGTGTAGATAGGACTTGCATTAGCAACACACTTGGAATCCAGAGTACCTCTGATTTAGGGAAATACCTTGGGGTACTAGTTCCCCATGATAGAGTCACTAGGAATGCTTATTGGTATATCCTAGAGAGCGTCGATCACAAGCTGAACTCTTGGAATGCAAGGACATTTTCACTAGCTGGTACAACCACCATGGCCTGTGTTGTTCTTAACGCTATCCCTGTGTATGCCATGCAAACCTCTATCCTGCCTATGTCTGTGTATGATGAAATTGATAAGAAAATCAGAACTTTAATTTGGGGTATAAAGATGAGAGAAAAAAGACCCACCTTGTTCAATGGGACACTATCTGTAAACCTAAGGATCAGGGAGGGTTGGGTGTTCGATCTGCCAGGAATTTATACATGGTTTTTCTGGTTAAATTAGCCTAGCAGATGCTGAAGGATGAGCAATCTCTTTGGTTGCAGGTTTTGCAGAAAAAGTATTTCAGACACAGTGGCAGTAACATCACAAGGATGAAAACCAGCGATCACTCACCATTGTGGAAGCCAATCCTGAAAGCTATGATAATCATGAAGTCGGAAACCTGTTGGAGTGTGAGAAATGGAAGGTCAACCAGCTTTTGGTGCCATCCATGGATCAATGAAGAGACCATCTTGGAAGATTTTCTCTTTACCAACATCTCTGCTGAAGAAAGGGAGGAACCTGTGTGCAATTGGGTCCATCCTTCTGGGACTTGGGATTGGGAGAGACTGACTGGACTTTTACCTGATGACATTTTGTTCCTCCTTGCAGGTATTGACACCCCAAGACAGAACCTGGGTGAGGACACTACAATTTGGGGAATTGATCAAGATGGCAGATTTCGATTGAAATCGGCCTATAAAGTGGTTGCCAACAAGCTGGACCTGACAAGAAGCAAAGAATGGAAGCAACTATGGAAGTGGAAGGGACCTAACATAATCAGACACTTTCTCTGGCTGGCCTTGCACGATCGCCTCCTGACCAACCAGGAGAGAGTCCGGAGGAAATTTACTGATGATGGCTCCTGCAAACACTGCAATGGCATTGAGGAAACAACAGAGCACATCCTTCGTCATTGCAGGAAGACCAAGGAGCTGTGGAGACGACTTAGACACTCTATTACTATGCAGGACCAGAACATAAACTTCGGGCATTGGCTTATCACCAATATCAGAGACGATGAAAGAGGAACCCATTTTGGCATTATACTGTGGCACCTTTGGAAACAGAGGAATGAGGAAACCATGGAGGGTAAGGCCTTCAACGAGCAGAGCCCGATCCAAAGGATTCTGGCCTATTTCAACATTGTGAAAAATGCGCAGAATTTTGGTAGCAAAATCGATGAAGGACCTCAACGCAGAAAGACCGCTCTCAACCTTGAATGGACTCCACCAAATGAAGGGTGGATGAAAATTAATACTGATAGATTAGTGATCAATGGGAACAAGGCTGCTACTAGGAGTTTGATTAGGAGGTTTTGGCCACCTTGAAACCGCTCCCTTCCGATGCGTTTGCTCTTCCCGAGGCGCTGACCGCACCCTGTAGCAGCGGTCTGCGATCCATGGCGCAGATTGCTGAGGTGGCAAGCGATCCGCCGCTGGATCGCCACTGAATCCTGCGGTCTCTAAGCCCGCTCCCGAGGAAACACAGACCGCACCTTGGAGGTGCGGTTCCCAGTCTGACGTGGCGCAAAACGCACCTCCAAGGTGCGGTTTATACATAAAATGCACCTGGAGGATGCAGTTTAAATATAAAACACACCTGGGAGGTGTGGTTTGATAAAAATGGTGCTAGTTTTGTAAATTTTGTGGGTTGGATGCTATTTTCGTAATTTTTTTTAATAGGTGCTATTATTGGAAAAATCCCTACTCTTTGATGTTCAGAAATCACACTTTGCAAATGATGAATTCAAGTGATTTCATTCTTTGTTATTCTTTTATAGTGCTCGAACATAAGTATAGGAGAGAAATATAGTTGTTTTTGGTTTCATTCTTGAGAATTGTTGTAATCTCAACGATTTTACAACTCGGTTTGAGATCCATACTAACGCCGAATTTGTTACAGTCCACTTACTTTACACTACTCTTTTATCCTTCATCCAAAAAAATTGCAGTTAATTCATCGTATTTATGAGCAAAACCAACCAAGTTACAACCTCTAACTTACCATTTGATTCGTAACCCTTCATAATAATTCAACTCGCGATACATAAACTACAAATCATTCCACATAATTCCACAATTTCGATGCAATCCAACCCGTTTGCCACCTCGAGAATTCCATAATTCACACAAAAGGTCTACCTAATTAAGATAGTGGGGTAGGAAGTGGGTGAGTGGAGCTGGATAGATAGATGGATAAAAAGTTAGTACTAAAGAGAATCCGTCTACTAGTAAGTGACGTCGAACGACGCAACCCATGGTCCGTGTGACGTAAAACAATGCGTAATTGGCGTTGACGTTATGATCATCATCATCAACATCCTCCTTCTCCCTCCCTCCAACCAATCCCCTCTTTTTTCTATATAATCCTCCGCCTCTTCCACTTAATTCCCTCCCCCCGCCTTCCAAAAATATTCCCAGTTCTTTATATGATCATCATCATCACAATCCCCTTATGCAAGAAACAATCCCCTTCACCACGCACATCCCGCCGGCCGCACCCGCCGGCGACGGCGGCGCCACCGTCGACGTTAAGAAGCTGGTGGTGGAGAACTCGATCATCGTGGTCGGGAAGCGAGGGTGCTGCATGTGCCACGTGGTGAAGCGCCTGCTGCTGGGCCTGGGGGTCAACCCGACCGTGTTCGAGGTCGACGAGCCCGAGGAAGGCCACGTGGCGGAACAGCTGTCGTCGCTGGTCGATGACGGCGGCGAGGTGCAGTTCCCGGCCGTGTTCGTCGGCGGGAAGCTGTTCGGCGGGCTGGAAAGGGTGATGGCCACTCATATCTCCGGTGAGTTGGTCCCGATCTTGAAGGACGTTGGGGCTTTGTGGCTATAACCGGCCCCTGCCGTCACCGCCGGCTGCCGGCCGGTTCCGGGTTAATATTGTAATCAATTAATTAGCGAATTAGTCTCCCTGATTCCTAATTAGTTTTTAATTAATTAATCAGTGGCTGTTGGATTTTGACTCTCTCTTTTCCCTTCTTTTGGGAGTGAGGATTCACCAGATTTTTAGCTTTCTCATATGGTTGATTATAAGTTAAACTCGGTGATATAGTATTTAGTTTTGGTATAATATTATGAATATTTATGAGAATCGTTGTACAAATAATGATTCGAATTATTAATTAGCTCTCAAATTGTCTTCTATATTTAATTTTTACTTGTTGGATCCGATAACATAGAATGTAAGAAGAAGGTGATTTAGTGATGCTAAATATATATGTTTAAACGTACAATATTAGACTTTCAAGCTCCAGTTATGTTCATATATAGTCATCAGGCAGTAAAATTTTTATTATGTGATGTCATCCATTGAATTAACGGCAGATTCTTTCGTCATTCCGCATATTAAATTTGAAAAACTTATGAGAAATTTGATAATGGCTGTATAAATTAAAATCATTAAAATGGAAAGGTAAGAAAATTGTTGTAGCTAGCGTATGGACATAATATATTTATCTTCATGGATAATCACCGACCATATCTGACGAGACAACAAATTGTGTAAGTAGTTACAGAAGTGGACACGAATCAGTGGGCTCCACGCGTCTCATGGGTGGAAGTCAGCCCTTGTCTTGACGCCAGAAAAAAACACATTAGTAATACCCCTACTTTGGGAATGCCGTGTTTGGTTTTGGACTTGCTCATGGTAAATAAATATGTGGGAGTGGGATATAAAAATGGAAGAAAATTGGACTTTGTAGGCGTCGTGGCATGGAGAGTTCAAACAAAACGGGGGTTACGGCCCATTTTCTCATATCAGGGCTGTCGAAATTGGCAACTACTACTCGTATCTGGGCTGGGGCAGAGCTACACCAAGCCTCGGCCCGCAGAATTATGAAACGTAAAACAAAACAAAAAAGAACTCGGTGTCTTAAGTATAAAGTAGAATTACAATACCGTACCGGTGGTTCGATCTGAAAGCCCGTCTTTCAGAAGTAAATCGGTAGGCGGTATTTAGCAGTATATTACGGTTGAACTATGTTTAAACTAAAATTTTAATATAAAATATCTTATTGTTGACTTTTTCGATACGATCTCCGATACGGTATTTCAATCCTTGAGTCTATAAACTAAAATACGATTATAAAGTAATTTAACACTTTGTTTTTTTTTTTTTTGATAATGGTGAAAGTTTATTAAAAGGGAAGAAAAGAAACAAAGTAACAGACATACAAGACCAGGGCTCAAGAGAACTGAGCAGCCTGAAGGAGAAAAACTAAAAGACTGAGAAACGGGAAAGCAAAAAAAAGAGAGTGAAAGGCAGAGTTAAATGAACTGGACCATTCCTACTGTGAAGAAAAAGGAAGAGACACCTACAACAACAGCACCTTCAACAAGCTGAAGATGAGCTGGTCCAAATTTCTAGAGTCGGAAAACGAGCTGCAAGACACAAACAGATTCAAAGAAAAACAGGGGAAAAAATCAGCTGGTTGTGGAGAGGACTCTTCTCCTCTGTTCGTTGAGCCATTGGCGTCCCTCTTCTTTGGTGATTTTGCCCATTGCAATAGGCCATTCAAGCATGGATTTGAAGGCTCTTCGGGCTATGGTTATTGACCCCTGTCTCGCATCTTGGAAGATTCGTCTGTTTCTTTCAAGCCATGTCTGCCAACATACAGCATGAAGGGCACAGAAGTTAATCCATTCATACGGGCTGTCAGGGAACCTGAGTACCACTCACTGATTGTTGATGTAATATCTTCCCTGACATTTTCAATTCTTGGACAAGCGTCTCTGCATCTTTGCCAAACATCTTTTCCAAAATCGCACTTTGTGAATATATGATCAGCTGATTCTTCATCCTTCTCGCATAGGACGCATCTGTTGGCGATGAACCAGCCCATTTTCTTGAGATTGTCGAGTGTTTGTAGCTTCTTCAAGGCAGTTAACCACAGAAAAATGCATACTTTGCTTGGTATGATGGACTTCCAAACGGACTTGGCTGGAAAATTTGGGATTCCCGGGAATCTGTTCTTCACGAGGTACCTGTACATGGAATGGACAGAAAAAGGTTTCTCTGGATCGGGTAACCAAACGGGTCGGCTAGGCCCACTTGTAACCCTATCATTAGCGTGTTCGTTAAGGAAAGCAATCAACTGAGAGAGTTCACGCTCAGCACCCCCTCTCAGATTAATATTCAAAGAAAGGTCCCAAATTATACCTCCATCATTGCGTGAGATTATGTCGCAGATTCGGGCATCAGGAGCAGAGGAAGCAGCTGCAATCCTTGGGTAGTTGGTGGCGAGAGAGGTTTCTGGGATCCAAATGTCATGCCAGAAAGAGTCCCACGCTCCGTTTCCAGGCTCGATGCAAGTCATCATCCAGAAATTGTCGTGTTCCTTTGAGATATTGGCCCAGGCTGAATTGGTGAACCCGCTGCTGCATTTTCCGGAGTACCATTGGGAATAATGATTAGGATATTTGTGCCCGATTAAAGTCCTCCACCATCTGCCATTTTCAGTCGCAAACCTCCAATGCCACTTTCCTAGCATAGCACTGTTGAAACAAGCCAGATCAGTTATTCCCAGCCCTCCTTGGGAGCGAGGAGCCTTACAAAGTTCCCTTTTAACCAATGGAGCTTTGGAAATGTCAGCTGTTCCGCTCCATATGAATCTGCGCTGTATGCTCTCCATTCTTTTGATAACTGTACTCGGGGCTTTCAGCAGCGAGAAAAAGTAAACTGTTTGGCTAGACAGCACAGATTTGTTGAGCACAACTCTTCCCCCCATCGACAGGAACCTACTCTTCCATCCCTCCATCCTCTTCTGGTACTTGTCAATAATTGAATCCCAAGTAGAGACTGCATTCAATTTGGCCCCAAGGGGGAAACCAAGATATTTAGAGGGATCTGTACTCCATTTGCATCCGAAGATGTTGGCAAAAAACTCCGGGTTGGTGACATCACCAATGGTGTACATGACAGTCTTGTCTAAGTTGATGTTGAGTCCCGTGACTGCTTGAAAACACACAAGAGTGGCAATGATGTGCAGAACTTGGTCATAAGACGCTTCACAGAAAATCAGCGTATCATCTGCAAAGAGAAGGTGAGTAACCTCCCCTCTGTTCTCATCTTCATTCATAGAGAAGCCCTTGATTTTGCCTGCATCACGTACTTTGGAGATCATGTGATCAAGGATGTCCATAATAAGAACAAAAAGGCCTGAGGAGAGCGGGTCACCTTGTCTGATCCCTTTGTGCGTTGGGAAGAAACCTTTGGATTCCCCGTTGATGAGAATAGAGACTGTGGGAGAACACATAGTACCTTGAATCCAGCTGAGCCATCTCGGGGGGAAGCCAAGACTCGATAGAACCTTGAACAAGCACATCCAATTCACGTTGTCGAAGGCTTTCTCGATATCTATTTTGAACATAAGACCAGGTTTTTTGCTCCTCTTCCTGCTGTCAACTAGTTCAAAAGCAATCAAAGCGGCATCTGCAATCTGTCGACCTTTCACAGAGGCTTGTTGATTGGGCGAAACGATCTTAGGTAACACCAAGCTTAGCCTGGAGGCGAGGATTTTGCTGACCATTTTGTTGATAGATCCCATTAGGCTGATAGGCCTTAAATCCTTGGTGTCTTCTACTACGTCACGTTTGGGCAGCAAACACAGGAAAGAATGTGTGGCACTTATCGGGAGTTTGCCGCTTGAATGAAATTCTGAGAACGCGCTTGTTGCATCAGTTTTCATCCAATTCCAACACTTTTTGTAAAACTCCCATGTAAAACCATCAGGTCCAGGGGCTTTACTTCCATCGAAATCCTTGAGGCAGTCCCAAATTTCCTTTTCACTGAATGACCGTGTGAGTGTGAGAGCATCGTTGTGTGAAACAGCACCATTTTTATAGCTTCTTGGGAAAGGCCGATTGGGTGTGCTTTCTTTGAAAAAGTTCTGATAGAAGAGTACCAGCCTGTCTGCAACTTCGTCTTTGCCTTCTACTAGAGTCCCGTTGATTTTGATACAATCTATTCTGTTCAACTTCCTTCTGAAACTTGCAACTTTGTGGAAGAAATTGGTGTTGTTGTCCCCCTTCTTTAACCAGATTTCCCTTGATTTCTGTCTCCATGATATTTCCAGGAGGTTGAGGAGCCTTCCTAATTCGATTTTGTGCAAATCTCTCGCTGCTTTTGTGTTGTCATCAATGGGACCATTCTCCTCCAATCTGTCAATGTCTGAAATTGCAGATAAGAGTTCACTAATCTTGACATTAACGTTGCCGAAGACTTCCTTGTTCCAAGCTTTGATTTTGTTTTTCAAGTCCTGCATTTTCTGGCCCAGAGGAACATGAAGCCTTGACCTTGGAGATGAGAGTTAGACCATTCTTCCATACCCTTGAAAAACCTGCTGTCTTCGAGCCACATATTTTCGAAACGCCACGGTTGTCGAATACGTGTAGTAGATCCCCATTTAAAGACGAGAGGGTTATGGTCGGACTCAACTCGTTCCAATGCCATCAACGAACACTCAGGGTATATAGTATCGAAGTTGTGAGAGATGAAGGCTCTGTCAATTCGCGAGAAACTGCAGCTATCACCTCCTCTGCTCCATGTGAAACGACTACCTCCCAAAGGCATCTCCATCAAGGCATTATTGTTGATGAAATTATTGAATTCCATCATAAGGTTCCAGCTTCGCCTAGCTCCTTGGTAGTCTTCATGACTACGCACCAAATTGAAGTCCCCAATTAGACACACAGGGTCTGATTTCTGTTGACAGTAACTGCTCAGGTCATCAAGAAACCTGATCTTCTCTTCCCTTTCTTGCGGTCCATAGACGATGACCAAATTCCACACTTTATTTGAGGTGAGGTCAAGAAATTCTAAGGCCAGGAAATAAGTACTGGTGTGGCTGGACAGAATTTGGAAATAGGTTTTCTCCCAGTAAGCTATAATTCCTCCCGAGCTGTTAACCGCGTCTTTGGCTTGCCACCCACAATCTCTGGATCCCCCAATGCTTCGAATGATAAGATCTTCACATTTGTCAATCTTAGTTTCAACCAATCCAACAATCTTGGGTTTACGCCTTCTGATGATATGCTTGATTCTGCCTCGCTTGCTAGGATCACCAATCCCTCTTACGTTCCATGCAAAAATAGAATTTTCCATTAGGATTCTGTTGTAGAGAAAGATCTTCATGTCCGCCTTTTGCTTCTGCCTGAGTCTAATTCTGGTTTCTCCGTATTACCCAGACGGTATTGCTCCATTTCCAGTTTTGATCTTTTGGTGCGGACCTTTTTGCGATGGACTTCTTCGGCCTTTTCAATGATCATCTTGTTGACTACTTCTTGACCCCCAGGGTGTTCCAAGGCAAAGAGGTTGGCCAGTTCAATACTTGTGTTTACGAGGGTGGTGGCATCGAAAGGGAACTCATCGTGATCCCAATCTCGGAACTGGGACTCCGAAACGCAG